GCGTTAGTAACTTCAAGGAAAATAACAAACCAAACAATTAAATTAAATAATAATTGAAAGAGAGATTTGGGACCAAACCCTTATAAATTAAAACCTTTCACGTCTAGGGTTAATGCAACTTCGAACAATGCTAGGTGTTTCTTGGTCTTGTGAATGCGGAATTTTGCATGAAGGTTGGTTTAGAAAAGAGAGAGAAAGAGAGCAAGCTTCGAGAGAGAAGAGAATTAGAGAATTCTTGAGAATTGATGATTGTAGATGATTGAAAACCGGAGTTTTTAGGAGGCTATTTATAGAGAAAATCAGCCAAAAAGATAATAATAATAAATAAAAAAAAAAAAAAAACAAATCAGAGTATCGACATGAAAAAACGAAGTTAGCGCCAGGGGCTAATGCTAGCGACAGGCGCTAATGTCTGGCGTTAGGCGCTAATCAATTTTTTTACGCGTATTCTAAATTCAGATAAAATTTAGCCGTACAGAAGGAGAAAATCGTATTTTTTCTTAAAAACACTCTTTTATTCTAATTAAAACTCTAAAAAGTTAACAAAAGTCAATTTATCAATCCTAATTGAATTAGGAACGAAAAGAACCTTATAGAAAAATCTAGAAGACTAAAACAATTCCTAATTGCATTGGGAATGATAAATCCATATTAGGCCCTCCTCTAGATCATTGGGCCGCATATAAGGCTCAAACCGGACCTAGTTTAGTAATTTGGCCATAACTTCCTCATTATTCATCGGAATTGGGCTTATAATATATCGTTGGAAAACTCTTTTCAAGCCCCATCCAACTACACCATTATTGTACCCTTTCCATGGACCAGCTAAACTGTATTGGCTGTTTTCTTAAAATAGGTTTTCAAAAATAGAGAGAAAAGAAAAGAAATTAAAACTATCCACAACACTAGACTTTCCACACTTTCACTTCATTCGATTATGATTCGACGTGAAATGTACTCATCACCGGGTTTGGTTTTGGGGAGATAAAATGGGTGTCTACACAAGTGAACTTTGAATTGGACTAAGTTTGGTAGTAACTGATATGGTTTTGGTTTGTTGGTAATAACTAGGCAAGAAGAAGGTAGGCAAAACCCTCAATCCTTGGTGTCAAAAAGAAATCGGTATGTTGCTAAACAACCTGACTTGTATGTAGATAGTTGTACGGGTTTGTTGTTAAGAGGAACCCTCAAGTCCATTCATCAGTTTGTAACATGTATATGCACATTTGCAGAGTTCAAACACCATGTACGCCTTCTGTATGTGATACTGGAACAGTTAGAGTTCCCAGAGGTAATGACTAGCGGATGCAATCATGAATAGACCTATACTGTATACATAGTTCACATGGTTGACAATGGTTCTGTTAATTTTGCTCCATATTTTGGGTGTACTCAGTGATCATGTTGTAGTTACTAAGCTTCCTCGTGCACGCAAACATAAGGTAAAACGTTGTATTGGTGATACGAATCATATACAAGCAAAGAGGTACATGGTGTGTTATTTATAGTTTATAAGTAATAATTTTTGTGTTTGTATATACAACATTGCAAAGCATAAGAGGAGAAAGACTCACACATGACCTAAGCCATTGTGTAAGCTTCTAGGTTTCTCTTGTTAGTTTAAGAAATAGGTTTTCATTGTTATTGTGGCCAACAGTTGTTCCTAATTTGTGTGTATGCAACCTATACAATTGCCAGTTATTCCTGCTGGTATGATAGGATAACCATTGCCTACAGAGTCTCTGGAATTACTTGCCCTTTCATATTGTGTCAAATGTGATGCTAAGAAGTTTGCATTTGAAACATTGAAGTTCTGTTGTGGTGATGGCGAGATACGGATAGCCACGACATGATTACCCTCCTGAGCTTCAGCGTTTGTTTACATCAAAGGATGAATGCAGTACATTTCCGGAGTTATGCTAGATTATACAACCTTTTCGCTTTTAATTCTATAGGAGGGAATTTTAATGCAGGAACATATAAAGGTATATATGTTTGTTAGATGCACGGGCAAATGTACCACTTTGTTCCAGATTTACTGCCTAAAGATGGTAGCCCAAAGTATTTGCAGCTGTATTTTTATGATGGACAGCATGAGGCTCGTAATAGAGTAGGATGTTTCCCAGATATCAGGCATGATATTGTCGATATACTTATCCAGGTATCTTATCAAAACCCATGCGCAGTGTTCTTCCAGTCTCTGAGGGAAAGAGAAGTGTCTGTAGACACGAAGATTGTTTTGAACCAAAATACCATGATAGACCAACATGTTTACAATGCCCCTTCTGTAGATGATGTCGATGTTATATGGCCAGAGAATGCTTCATCCAGTCAGAGTTTAAGTCCCCACATCGTAGTGTTTGGAAGATCAGCTAAATCGCATAGAATTTATCACAACTATGGTTGTTATGACCCACTACAATACCCTTTGCTAATCCCACATGGGGAGTGTGGATGGACTCAAGGATTAAAGAAGCAGTCCCATGGTAGAGAAACACAATCTGTTTCATTGGCGGACCCTATTGCTTCTTGTGTTGTGCATGTGCTGAAGATTTGTTGGCCGAAGAAGATAGACGTATGTTTGCCAAAAACCTTTTACATTATGACAACTGAATTACTTTGTTGTTTGCTTTTGTTATGACGCTTTGTACACAATTGTGGTTGGTGTTCATATGCAAGGGCGCGTAAGAAAAACACCTGGGCAGATAAGTTTATTTCTCCTAGGGAATATTATGCTTACAAGCTACAAATCCAACCTGAAAATTGGCTGCTATGAGCTGGCAGGTGTTTTTAACAATACATCGTCGACATGTATGTTAAAATTGAGAACACAGGCCTTGATTACTTTCGGAACAATCAAGACGGTATACGGGCTGAGCTTTATCAAGGTATCCTGGATTCTTTACATTCTGGTGAAACCTCTGCTTGTAACGTAGGGCATAGAGTTATCTTACCTCCAACCTTTATTGGAGGGCCTCGAGATGTGAAGAAACGTTATCTAAATGCTATGACTTTCGTTCAAAGGTACGGGAAACCTGATTTGTTTATAACTATGACTTGCAATGCTAACTGGCCTGAGATAAAATCTGAGCTAGCCCCTGGTGAAACAGCACGGGAACACCCTGATTTAGTAGCAAGGATTTTTAAAGCCAAGCTACTTTTGTTGAAGAAAGAGATAATGGACCAAAAAAATCTTTGGTGAAGTCGCTGCAATGGTGTATGTTGTAGAGTTTTAGAAGAGAGGATTGTCTTATACTCATTTCTTAATAATCTTGAAATCAGAATGGAAGATGAAATGCCCTTCTGATTATGACAAATTTATGTATGCTGAAATACCACCTGTTAGTAATACTAAGTTGCGTAAGACTGTTCTTGCGCATATGATGCATGGTCCTTGTGGTGAATTGAATCCAGAATGCTCATGTATGTATAGATAATATGGTGTAGACACCTGTAAAAATAAATGCCCACAGCAATTTATAGATGACACAACTAATAATAAAGAGGGTTACCCCATCTATTGGAGGCGTGAACTGGAGAAAGGGTGAAAATACGTAATACATATCTTGAAAATCAATGGGTTATTCCTTATAACCCTTATCTCTCATCATTTTTTTATTGTCATTTGAATGTTGAAGTGTGATCTACAATTAAGGCAATGAAGTATCTGTATTAGTATGTGTACAAGGGTCATGATAGAGTTTCATTTAATATAGTGCCCGGTGATAAAAATCCTTTGGATGAAATAACACGACTCCAATCGGGTACATGGGTGTCTCCTTGTGAAGCTGCATAGAGAATTTTCAATTTTGACTTATTCGAAATGTACCCCCGAGTACTTCCTTTGCAGGTTCACCTGCCTAATGCACAGACTATTCATTTATATTCTCATGAAAGATTGTGTGATGTTATTGCTAATTCTAAGCGTTTCCGCACTCAACTGACTCAATTTTTTGCAGTTAATGTAGCAACTGAAGGTGGGATGGGCTACCTATACCGTGAATTTTGTGAGTATTACACGTGGGATGCGAGTAAAAAGAATGGAAAGAAAGAGTGCAGGATAAATTCTTTGTTGGGTGATTGTCATTTGTATATCGTGCGGAAGGAGAATGTTTTTATCTCAGGTTATTATTGCTCCATATCAGAATTCCAACTTCATTTGAGGACCTTCGAACTGTAAACGAGCATATATGTATCCGACTTTCATGATGCAGCCTTGAAGCTAGGATTAATAGAAGATGATGATATTGCAGACTTAACATTGCCTGAGGCTTCTGAAGTCCAGATGCCTGGCGCATTACGACGTCTGTTTGCAACAGTATTAATGTTTTGTCAGACAACAGATCCGTATGCTCTATGGTTTAAACACTATCATTCTTTGTCTGAAGATTTCGGCCATAAATATGGTGCTAATGTCCATTGAGTCCACCAACTTATTTTGAGGTCTATTGAGGGGTATCTTGAAGCTATGGGAAAGTCACTGTCATCGTTTGGTCTAGAAAATTTAAATCTGCATGTCGACCTTCAGCTCTGAAAAACAAAAGATATCATGGATGATCTTGATGCTTCTATACCAGATGAATGTCTTACGTGTCGTTCTAGGCTTAAATATGAGCAAAACGAAGCCTTCTCGTTCATTATGCAGTATGTCTTGGAAGGAAGCCAAGTGTCTTGTTTGTAGATGGCCCAGGAGGAACTGGGAAAATATTTTTATACAACGCTTTGTATGCATAGATTTAACTCATGAACAAGATTGTGTTGCTTACAGCAACACTAGGTATTACCGCAACAAATATACCCTCAGGACTCACAGCCCACTCAAGATATAAAATTCCACTTGACAGTGATGCTTCTTTAGCTTGTGATGTTCCGAAGCAAGGTAGTTTAGCAGCTCTACTTAGGGAGACTACATTAATAATATGGGATGAAGCTTCAATTGTAAGAAAATAAAACATTGAATCATTAGATTTATTAATTCAAGATGTGTGGGAAACAAAATTATGTTTGGAGGGAAAATAGTTGTGTTCGGAGGTGATTTCAAGCAGGTTCTTCTAGTTGTTCATCAAAAATCGATGAGAGAAGAAGTGGACACCAGTATAGTTACTTCATATTTATGGCCTAAATTCATAAATTTCAGACTAACAGAGAATATTAGGGCCCGTGATGATTTACCATACTCTAAGTTCTTACTTGCTCTGGGCAATGGAGAGCTACAAGAATCAAAATATGCTTATGTCCAATTGCCAAATCATATTGCTCAGATTTGTCAAAATGAAGAAGACTTAGTAAGTGATTTGATGGCAACAACTTTCCCTGAAATGATTCACGGCAATCTTTGTGCTGACACTTTTGTGAATCAGGCAATTTTGACACCATTAAATGATGAGGTGGATTTTATTAATGCATTCATGATTGAACAATTTGAGGGACGATCTGTTACATACAAAAATTTTGATGTAATTTTGAACGATTCATGTAATATATACCCTACAGAATTTATGAACAGTTTATGTCCAGGTGCGATGAGTCCTCACGAGCTTGTACTCAAAGAAAACTTTCCAGTCATATTGCTAAGGAATTTGTTACCATTTTCTAGTTTATGTAATGGAACCCACCTCACTTGTAAACGTTTCTTCCCAAATGTCATTCAATGTGTCATTGCTACAGGGCAATATAAAGGCGATCATGTATTCATACATAGGATCAACTTACGTCCATCTGGATCTGTGAACTACCCTTTCCAATTTGAACGTAAACAATTCCCTAACAAATTAAGCTTTTCTATGACAATCAATAAATCTCAAGGACAGACTCTTAATCAAGTGTCCATTCATCTCCCGCGCCCATGTTTTTCTCATGGACAATTATATGTTGCTTTATCCCGAGCCAAAAGATCAAAAGATGACGCTGTTTTTTATGCTAAACTTCCGGACCAATACTCACCCAAATCTGTGACGAATGTAGTGGCGTATGAAGTGCTTACATTAGCTGGAATTCTAAAGACCAACATGAAGCAAAACAACTGAATATTCGATGAAAACACAGCAAGGCCATGAAGTATGTTTCCTCTTTTTGAAAACTAATATATATTGCATGTTGCATTGCAATGGACATCCTGAAATCATGCCTCCTTATTACTTATGGTGATACCGTATCTTTTCATATTCAATAGGATATACAAATGCATAATGTGCTTTTATTATAGAAATTTCAAGCCATATAGTTAATTTTTTGTTTGTTACATTGCTTAATGATCTATACTGTTATTAGTGTGCGATATGAATATGTTGTGAGCTTATACTATTCCTGATTTAGACATTGTAATGTCTTCCAAAGTACACAGGGGGCATGAACTTTTATACAGGAGCGATACCAGTAGATATTTATAGTTTGATTATGTACTTGTATTTGTGCACGTTACATAATTTAAAGCGCGATATAAATATTCTGTGCTCTAAATTGATGTATGTGATGTATTAATTACATAACAGAATTTGATCTTGTTAGATGCTATTTGAATTTATTGCTAAGATTATATTCTGTTATAGCAATGGTTTGTGACATATTGGCGTATATGTCTTACTATTTTGCTATGCTTGAAATATCAGTATGTGCTCCACTTTCCTTTCTACCTTCATGATTATCTCCCTATGCTCTAAATTGATGTTTGTGACCTATTAATTACATAACATAATTTCATTCTGTTAGATTCTATATGAATTTGTTGCTTGGATTAAATTCTGTTATAGCAAATGATACTGACATACTAGTCAATATGTCCTACTATTTTGCTATGTGAAATATTAGTATGTGTTCTTCTTTCTGATATTATGATTATCCCCCACCTTTCCCTTCTTCTTCAAAGATTATATATAGCTCTAAATTCAAATAGCATACCTGATTGGACTCATTTACATACCATAGACCAAATTGATTCCCCCCACCAGATTGTTGCTAATGATGATCCTGAACACATAATACGCACAGGACTAATGCTTATAGTTGTCTTACTTTATCCATGAATTCAAGTTTCCAGCTAATTTCCATGTTAATATCTTTTAAATTAACCAATTGTCAAAAAATTCAGCAATTGATAGCAAATCGTTAGAATATTCTAATTACATAGATAGCCAGCTGGTGATAATACTGGGGTTTACAAGTACATGAAGCAGGGTCAGGGCTGCTAATTTTTTAAAAAAACACATCCTGATTTGTTAGCCTAGACAGAATATTGTGCACAACTAGAACTCAAACAGAGTAGTTCATCCATTACATTATTCATATAGCTAATTCATTTTACATTACTCATGATGACTGGACTCTTAACTGTGAAGTTCATCACCCGCTGCAGACAGCACTTGGATGGATAATGTCCCACGACCTATGTATCGTACACTTAAAATATCGCCTTTTTGACTTGATTATAGGCTACAAATGTCTCCCATCCAGCATACAAGAACACACGGTATGACTCATTGATGTTAGCACCAAGGAGCTCAACATTCCATACTGGCCCTCCGGTATTACGCTGTACAGACACAGGCCCTGTGAATGTAGACAGGAGAGTTTTCCAGCTACCTTGGAGAGGCTACATGCAGCACTCAAAAAGAGTTACATATCAGTATAAGGAAGGCACATATATCTTCATAGAGAATAAACTGGAGATAGATAATTACATGAATACTGCTACGAAAAAATGTTATACGTATAAAAACATTCTAATGGAATGAATAATCAAGAATAAATGTTTATTCTAACATTGAAATATTTTGAAACTGATTGAATATACTAGAGCATTCCTATGGCAGTTATGATATTGAATAATGTAGCTTAGAAGATTGTTGCTCATTTTTTTGCACTTTCTGATGGAAGAGTATATACCAACGGTAGAACTTAGACTTTATTATCTGCTTTTGAAGCACTCGGTTGGTTATGAAAATTGTATCACTACCAACTCCTAATTTTTATATAAATCATGGAAACCGACACTCTATGCCTATTTTCTTTATAGGGAATCTTGCAATAGTAATATATCTATGTGTACTTCCTGCATAGATTGTTTTGACACTTACGCATGCGCGAATTATTCTGGTATGCAAGTACAAGATCTCTTGTTGTATCAACATTCCCACAGAATATGCATCAAAAAAGACATATGGTGCACTTATCTAACAGATAAGCTACTTATTAAATTTTGACTGAAGCTGTGTGCAACCTGCAAGCCCTCAGATGTTATGAAAGATTCGTTTGTTATTGTCAAGATTCCATATAATTTTGGACATCTAAACCACAGAAGCAATAAAAAAAGCCTCGGTTCCTACTATTTAGAGTATTGTACCAAGTATGTAAAAAAAGCAGACACAATGTAACTATTACAAATTCTTCACACAGTCGTTGTACCTAACAGAGCAAATTGTTTTAATTATTGCATAATTAGGCCTTCTGCTCGCCTTCAATGCAATTAATGCACTTACTAACCTATTACAATTGCCATAATACTTATAGTAGTCATTCATGAACTTTAAATATAATAGTAGTAAATTTTGTTCACAACTGATACAAATTTAGTCCCAGATTGCATCTACAATACCTGACCTATTTACGGTAGTTTCATTAATAATTTGATTAGGTATTTCTACTGTTCTTATTATCCTAAAGGAAACTTATTTTATGTTTGTGCAGGGATTTCTACTGTTCTTATTAGTTTCACCAACGATTCAAAGTAGAACTTATTTCTACTGTGCAGGGAGTTGCTTCTTGGAAATGCATCCTAGCAAATGATACAGGTACAGTCTAAAGAAAAAAAACACAACAAAATCATGAAAATAGTTTCTAAATCCTTGCAGATAGATTATTAAGTCAAACACTTACAATAATTCCTTAGTGAATACAACGAAGATCAAATATATAAGTAAACGACGGCTCAGGACGTTGTACTTGCATTTGCCTTAAGTGATTTTCCAGCTCTACAACATTTAATGGAAACCTTCTTTGAGTAACTATGGTCTGAGTTACTGGAATGTTTACATGAGTTTTATCATGACCATGATAAGAAAATATCCCTGCGTGGAATATCTCCCCACCTTTGTAGTACAATATCAGAGAATCTTCGACCTCAACATCATTGTCGAAAATAAATTCTTTCCAACCTCCTTCGACGTACATTCCACTAATCATATCTCCTGTTTTAGTTCTCTTAATAACAATATCCCATGCTGGTCCATCGTAACATCGGAAAATCTGTCCTACTCCACACTGAGTTAATAAAATATGATGAAATACAGTAGGAATCTCCTGAATCAGACCAAACAAGAAAGGTATCAGTAGTAGGATTATACAAACAGAAACTCAAATTCCCAAACATATGTACTAAAACATACTGCAATATCTTTATGCTCCTCTTCTATTGTTAGTATCCACTTCATTAAACTATTGTTATCAACCTATGAACACACAAAGTAAGATAGTAAGCTAAAAAACAGTAGTAATGCTTATATACACGGAACCAGAAGTATAACTTAACAAAGAAACTCTAAATTATGCATACCATCTTCACCAGTATAGGGTATTTAACAAGAATATTACACTATATGCTTGCTCAAGAGGGTTGCTACTGGCTTATATAATACATGACAGTCCTTGAGCCCTTTGAGATCAGGACCAATTTACATGCTACAGAGAATCTCCCTATTAACTATAGCCACGTGAAACATAAGGAAACATTAATAGACTGATCACGTTGTCTAATAGACTAAACCAAAACAAAGAGCGTGCTCACAAGAAGATCACTTTTGCATTGTATTTATTATATAAGACAATGACAATAATCAATCATGAACATGTTACTTAATAATATTACATTTGTCCATAATACATAACCTATAATTAATTAATTTATAAATAGCAAGAGGTGGTGCAAACATCTGTATATATAAGCAGATTATGAGCAATGAATCAATAAAAAAATATATAATCACCTAAATAAATACAGAGCAATTAGACTTGGACATCTATATTAAGATCCATTCCATTCCTATATTTTTCCGCACTCTAAGGCTGCTTAGAATCATTAGTATTAAGATTTCTATATACAACTACATTTCCTCCCTTAAATGCAAGACATCAAACTTACTTAATTGAATTACCAATTAGTAAGATTCTATAGAGATACTTTCTTTTATTTTCATAGGCACAAGCTTTAGATTTCCAAGCCACATTGATTTAAGTTAATCCAATGTGCAACATACTTTATAACCTCCAATTGGTATGAGATCACTTGTCTAGAAAATTCAAGTTACTGTATCTCCCTAATGACAATTCTAAATCTTCTCCAAAATCATTTGCCATGGACCTATGATCTATGTATTGTAAGATGAGTAAAACGTTTCTGAAACTAATGATGTTATGTCATATAGATATTGCAAAGAGATTTATGGCTTATGTTAGAGCCTACGACTAAGGAAAGGAATTTTGTTACCCACATCCTAATTCAAACCAAGGTGTTGTAATCAATGTGATCACTTTAAGTACCTTGCTTTTTGGATACTTAAAATATGTTTTCATTAATACTAATATTGTATAACTTCAAAATTTCCGGTATACAAAAGCAAATGATACATCACTAAAATAAAAGTGTTGTGCAACAATACTTCTAACAATGGTTGTACAAATGCATATCCATGTATAACATATCCCGGGCTATTTTCCTTGTGGTAATTATTTTAATTGTATAACATTGTACACATCAAAATTTATATAGTATGTCTATAATCTATTGGGCTAGACTTTCCTACCATATAATTGTTTATAGTAATCACTAATAGCCCAGTCCATGGACTAAGAATGCTCAACTTAAATTATATACCTTCTACACTATTTCCATTCACCACAAAACATAGTTCCCTTTCTTTACAAGAAAATAGTACAATTTGTCAAGCATACTATTGTGGTAGATAATGACAAGGAAAGGCCAAATTGTACTTGCTTAAACAAGGTCCACACAAAAAAAATAAAAAAAATAAAGAAA